AGAATTTCACTTGTCCCTCTGTTGTCTTTGAAGATACACTTAGACAAATTATTTGTTACTTCAGTATCGTCCAGCTTGTGTTTTAACCCGCTCACGCTGGACAGCTCTCGTCATTGTCAATTGAAATTGACATCGTCTCCCATATCTGAACGTAGACCACGCTTTGCAGTGGTAGTCTCTTTATAGGAGATATCGTCCTTGCTTTGCACGGGTAATCTGCCGTGTCGTAAATCTCCGAGAAACTTATGACACATTCCAATCATCACAAAGTCGGCGAATGAGTGGATCTTTAGGATTTTCAGGGCTACCTCTAACCACGAAACGGTGATACCTTTAACATTTATGTTAGAATAAAAAATGATCAGCAAACCATACACATATATACTGACAATTTTCATAGCCCTCAGTAGAAAACCAATCAAGATTAGCAACTGTGGTGAGGAAAATAGAATATTATTTATCCCTCCGTTTTCTTTGAAGCTATGTTGCTGCAACTGGTACAAACAACTTGCACTAGCGGCATAAATGCATATCCAAATTTTGGTCGAAATCGGATGGTTGGTTTCCGAGTTACGGGTGTTTAAAGCTGGAAAACATGAGCTCTGTGCACTGGAAAACTTGACCCCTGGTCGCCGAGGGTCATGTAGCTTCTAAGAAGTTCCGGAGAAGAAATAGTTCCCTCTTTGACAGGCTGTAGCTCCGTTGTGTTTGGGTCTACAGTCAAACCAATTAGTGTTCTGGAATCTATCAGACGCAACGTTTCAAGTGACCAAACGGTGCATTTTAGCGACTTGAGCCGTCCAGGCGAAATTGTAGGCATTTTGATTGCGCATCTGCTCAAGAACTTTGGCAAACATTGGAGCATTAGTTTTGGAGATATTTGCATTTGCATTTGAAATTTTTGAATTAATTTTGAATTATCTGCCCTTTGCTATTGGGCCTACAGCCTAGAGATTTTAAAGCGCGATATGTACACCTCGGTGGGCATGTGGGTTATTTTTTTCAAGGCATTCTGTCGAGCGGTGCTCTCTGTAGGTCTGGTACAAAATACGGCGGAAGAATAAATAATAATAATAATAAAAACACGAACGATTACAATAGGTCTCCTGCCTTTTGGCAAGGAGCCCTAATAATAAGGGCCTGATGATGTACGCCTCTCCGTGGTGGGCCTAGATAAGGGAATTATATTGCCTGAACTAAACGTACATCACCCAGTTAGGGCTGACCCCCCGAAGCTGGTTTTTCACTGGGTTACCGACAAACAAGGAGCAAACCATCTTTTAATTCCGCAGCCCAGTCAGACTTCCTCCGGTAGTGACACCAACCACACTGGAGATGGGACTTGCCCCAGGGGGAAGGCACAGAACCCGACCAAGAATATCTTGGTCAAACCACCTTAAAACCACACTACTTGAGTGTGCGAGAGCGACAGGATGGCCTGAAAATCCACGTATCAATGGCAAGTCGCTGAAGCTGCATTGGGACAATGCCATGCCCATGTATGCTTACCTGACGGAGCAAAATATCCGAGATCAATTCCGGCGGCTTAAAAATCTCATGCCCCGTGAGCCAGTTCAACTCACAACTGGTGCCCGTCAGGAACCTTTGCATGAACAGAATGCTCAAGTGGCAGCAGACCCAAAACTTCTTATGGACGTCCGTGTCAACCCGAAATTTCGGATGCTCACTCTTCCTCTTCCTCAGTTGCAGATCTTTCCGAAAATCCTGTGTATATTTTGTTTCATTCCATTTATGCTGAAATATGTGACATACCTTTAGAAAAACGGAGGCCAATTCAAGAAACAAATGTATCTTTTCCCAAACATAAAATTAATTTATTAAATGACATTATTTCTATGAAACTTTCATCGGACTGTTCATTACAGGAAGTTAATTGTTGTGTCAATGCTGCCGCTCGAACCTTGGAGGAAATTCACAGTTTCCAAAGAAAAAACATCTCATACTAAGAACAATACACCAAAGAAAAACCGGTTTCAAGTAAAACTAACGGAAACTAGAAAATACATTTCCTGGATAGAGCTGTGCCTGAAACTAAGATCATCAGGGAGTCCAATGTCAAAACGGCAAAAGACAATTTGGAGAAAATTAAAATTGCAGTACAAGACAACAAAAGAAAAGGTACTTCTCCAAATTGTCGATTCCCTTAAGGCCAAAATAAAAGTTTGGACTGAAAGAAAGAAAAAATGGGAAAAGAAAAATAAATTCATCAAACAAAATAAACTTTTTAGAAATAATGAAAAACACTTCTACAGGCAACTGAAAACAAACGGTAATGGTGAGCATGATAAACGGCCTCCCATTGATGCCAATGAAAGGTTCTGGAAACAGTTGTGGTCTATACCCGGCGACTGTAACCTCTAGGCACCATGGGTCCGTGATTATGACCATGCAATGCATGAGAAAGTAAATAGGTCGTTTGTCTGTTACATCTCACCAGATTGCCTGAAAAGTGTCATCAAAAAGTCCAAATCTAATACAGCTCCAGGGCCTGATGGCATTCGAAACCGGTATTGGAAACTGTTCCCCTGTGTCGAAACACCATTACTTCACTGATTTCAATTCTCTTGTGGACACAGGTGATGTTCCTCCATGGTTCTGCAAAGGTCGCACAATACTTCTCCCCAAGAAAGGAGACTTGACTGATCCCAAAAACTTCCGCCCTATCACATGTTTGAATACACAATACAAAATATTCACAGGGTGTTTGACAAACCTCGTGTCATCTTACTGCTCTTCCAATGATATAATTTACAGAGAGCAGAAGGGGTCGAGAAAGGGATGTTGGGGTTGCAAGGATCAACTTCTTGTACAAAAAATGATTTTGGAAGAGGCTAAAGCATATCACCGCAACATCTCCATGTGCTGGATTGACTACAAAAAAGCATACGACTCGAATGGATTCTGAAGTCTCTTCATTGTATTGACCTCCCTGAGCGACTACCTTATTTACTCAAGTCTTTAATGAATTGCTGGTCTACTCAACTTGAGATGTACTCGCAAGGGCAGGTGCAGACTTCGGAATCTATTCCAATTAGAAGGAGAATTTTCCAGGGGGATTCCTTTAGTCCTTTGCTTTTTTGTTTGTCTCTAAATCCTTTGAGCTTTCTGCTCAACAGAGAGGAGGGTTACCATCCCGGACCTCCTCAGCACAGATCCCCAACACCGCTTACTCATCTCCTTTACATGGATGACATCGAGCTCCTTGCCAAAGGAGATACCAATTTGAAAGAACAGGTTCCCTTGTCGAGTCCTTTTCTAATGATATTGGTATGACATTTGGACTCGACAAATGTAATACTCTTCATTTGAAACGTGGCAAGGTAGTTAATGATGGAACGGTCAAGTAACAAGGGGAGGAGTTATTGAGCATCTTGTGGAAGATCAGGCCTACACCTATCTTGGAATGCAAGTTCGAGACAAGCTCCAGAATACCCAAATTCAAGACAAACTTCGGGCCGAGTAAAAATCTCGCTTAAAGAAAATCTTGAGCTCAGAGCTAAATGCTAGAAACAAGGTCAAAGCCACCAATACTTTTGCTGTGCCAGTCCTCTCCTATTCCTTTGGAGTAGTTGACTGGACGAAACAAGACATCCAGTGTCTTGACCGTCTGACCAGAAGGATCATGTCTGATAACAGAGCCCACCACCCTCGTTCCTCTCTTAACCGTTTATATATGCAAATCAATTCTGGTGGTCGGGGTTTGATTAATGTGGAGGCTCTTCATGACAGAATTTTATTGTGTACTTTTGCTGATATTTATTTATCGGATGATCCTCTGGTGATGCATGTGAAGACTCACGGTGAAAGCAAGGAATTCCACAGCTATTTTAAGCGTGCCAAGGTTGTTGGACAGAATCTGAAATTTGAGGTTGACTTTGCTGATGGCAATGTACTGCTGGACGGTACAGCGATGGGAGTAAACCAGGTGAAGTCCTTCACCAAGTCTGCCCAGAGTCGGTCTTTTGTGGAGAAGCTTTCTGAGAAGCCATTGCATCGTGTGTACATGCAGTGTGTGGAACAGAATAGCAATCCCACCGACTCCTTCGCCTGGATGAAGTCGGCTGGTCTTAAATGTGAAATTGAGGACTTCCTTTTTGCTGCTCAGGACCAGTCACTTCCCACTCGCAATCGCCAAAATGTGATTCTAAAACAAAACATCAATATGAAATCGGTGGATGTCCTTCTTTGGCACAAACAGCATATCTTAAGAGACATGATGGCATGGTTCCTTGCTTTTACTACCGTCTCTGCCATGCCTCCATGGTACGACTCTGAACCTGTCCAGGGCGTCATGGAAAATGATGCTTTCAAACTTCTCTGGAACAGGCCCATATACAGCCTGAGGAGAATTCCAGCCAACAAACCTGATCTTGTCCTCTTTGATAAAGCCAATGAATTTATATATATTATTGAATTTTCTGTCCCTTTTGACAGCAATGTAATTGGCAAGATTCAGGAAAAGCATGATAAATATGCGGACCTCGCCTTTGAAATGTCTCGCTTGCATCCCGAGCACACTGTCGTCAGGCTCCCCATCGTTCTCGGTGCCCTTGGTTTGGTACCTCCTTATCTCTTGGCGCAGATTAGGAGAGTGCCCGGGTTCTCCACCGGGAGCACAGCCCTTCTGACACTCTGGGTAATGCAGAAGGCTGCAGTGTTGGGGAGCCTTCATATTCTCCAGAAAGTACTTGGTGGGTTCGACTAGGCAGTGTTTCCTGGGAGAAGTCCCATTCGCTGTCTGAGTTGCGTGTAGAGGGGGCTAGGGCCCTGAGCTGATGATGAGCCTTACCAGCCTGACTGTGCTAGGATCACCCGAACCCTCTCTGCTGCATTTTCATCTTTTATCTGTAAAATCTAATAATAATAATAAGTATTTCTAAAGCGCCAAAATTCCACGCCGGGAGCATGCTCATAGCGCATACAGAGAGTTCTAGTTGCAGTGATATGATACTGAGAAAGGGTGAATCTTGAGGTGAGATCTAAACAGAGTCAGAGTTTGACATGTTCGCAGATGGTCGGGCAATTCGTTCGATTTCTTGGCCGCTGCCACCTGAAAAGAACGGAAACCATATGATTTCAGGTGCCAACAAGGAACATGCAGTAGGTCTCTGTGACTGGAGCGAAGCGGTCTACCGGGGATGTACAGCCTGAAGAGTTCCTTGAGGTACACTGGAGCTGTTCTGTGAACACACTGATATGTCAAAGTCAGTATCTTGAAGTCAACTCTCGCTCGGATTGGTAACCAACGTAGGCGTTTCAGGACAGGAGTAATACTTGCAAATTTAGGGGTTTTGGTGACAATGCGTGCTGCATTATTCTGAATTCTCTGGAGTCGATTAATGAGATCCTGTGAGATATGGAGCAGAAGGCTGTTGCAGTAGTCAATACGTGAAAGTATCAGAGATCGAACAAGTGCTGCAGTAGAATCCTCAATCAGAAGATGGCGGATACTGCCAATGGTTCGGATGTGGTAGTAACAAGATTTACATAACTCTGAGACTTGCTTTTCCAACGAAAGATCACATTCAAAGTAGACACCAAGATCTTTGACTGTTGACGAGGGGGAAATGGGTGTGTCAACAATGTGAAGAGGAGCAGTATTGATCTTCGACAGGCGGGAGGCTGGGCCGTCTAACATCACCTCTGTCCTCATTTAGCTTGAGGAGATTGGTGTTCATCCAAGCATTGACAGATGCACAGCAATTCTCCTAGTTCGGCAGTAGAGAGTTGGTGTTCATCTTGAAGCTATCGGTCATCTGGCTGCCATCTGCATATAGATGGTGTAGGACATTGTGGCTCTGGTTACCTCCTCCAACTGCTTGGTGTACATGGTACACAACAGAGGTCCCAAAACAGAACCTTGAGGGACACCGTAGTCCACGGATACTGTAGATGAGTGCGAGTTCTTGATCACAACCGTTTGTTGCCGCCCTGATACATATGAAAGAAACCATGACAAAACATTGACACTGATTCCGTAATCAATCTTCAGCCTTTGCATCAGCATATCATGGTCAACCGTATCGAAAGCTGCTGAGAGGTCCAGGAGAACTAACACAGCAGCTTGTCCAGCATCCACAGCCTGTTGGAGGTCATTTAGTACTCTGAGGGGAGCAGTTTGAGTGCTATGGGCTTTCCTATATGCGGACTGGAACTTGGCCATGAGATTGTGTTCTTCTAAGTGATGCAAATGTTGCTTGTTCACTGCCTTTTCGAGTATGTTTGACAAAAAAGGCAGATTAGAAACAGGTCGATAGTGTTTCATTATGTTTTTGTCCAAATTGGATTTTTTGGTAAGTGGTTTGACAGATGCTTTCTTAAAAGACTGTGGTACTGATCCACTTGCCAGACTGGTGTTGATAATCCTGGTTATGGTAGGAAGAATGACATCCACTACAAGGAGCAGCGGATCAGTGGGTATTGGGTCCAGTTCACAGGTGGTGGGCTTAGAGTCCTTGATCAAATGTAGGACCTGTTCATCTGTCAAAAGTTGAAATTCACTGAACTCAGGACATACTGGGACTTGCTCGTTGGTTGATTGAGTGTCAGTAGTCGGTGTAAAGCTTTTCATGATAGATGTTACCTTGTCTGTGAAAAAACTGTTGAACTCATTAGCCAATGTGGCATCCCTTTCAGCATCAGGAAGTGTATTGGCTTTCTCTCGTCCAAGAAGTTTGAACATGTGAGACCATAAAGACTTGGGGTTGTTTAGATTAACAAGATGGTTTCATTGTGAAACGTTTTCTTAGCAGAACGAATAATTTTCTTGACATTGTTGCGCTCCTGCTTGTAGAGTTCTCTGCGAACATGAAGCCTTGATTTGCGCCATCTTCGTTCAGCAATTCGTCGAATTGTTAAGCAGTTCGAATTTCGTCACAATACCAAGGAGTGCTTGGCCTATAATGCACTGTCTTGATCTCCAGGAGATCAGACAGTGTAGAGTCGTAGAGGTCACTTAACATCTGTAGATCAGCGAGAGGGTTTCTCAGTTGCTCACTTTCCAGGAGATCCTTCTTGAAAGTGTCCAGACAAATGCCTTTGATATTTCGACGCAATACAGTTTTATGTTGTGGTTGAGGTTGAGTCAAGCAGAGTGCGAAGGTAATCCAACAATGATCAGACATCATGCGATCTTCAACATTAACATTCTCAATCATAGTGTCAGAGTCTCTAGTAATTATCCGGTCAATGATATGACCACTTTTGTGAGTGGACTGGAGTACATGTTGTGTCAAGCCATTGATTGGCCCTCAGAACAGATATGCACTTCTTGAGATCAGACTTCACTGATTGATCAAAGTGGATATTAAAGTATGGAACTGTGAAATACTTAGCTTATTAGCTCTTGAAGGTGGGGGCCTGTATATGCACACGATCCTTGTCGATCTAGTGTCTGTAGTTATGACCATCTCAATCACTTCAAATGAACTTAAAACAGCAGAGACAGAGCAGAATTCGATATTCAGGTTCTGTTTATACATGACAGGAACTCCTCCTCCTACACCATGCAGTTGTTCGTGGAACATGTTTGAAGCTGTAACCATCCGGAACTAACGCAGCTAGGGTGGTCTCATCACCAGTTGATTTCAGCCAAATTTCAGTTAAACACAAAAGGTCCAAATTATCATCCAGAACGGAATCATAAATGTCCACTGCCTTATTCCTAACAGACTGGGCATTCCATAATGCAGCTTTTAGGTAGTTGGTTTTAGGTTTGGGATGAACAATTCTGATGTTGTCAAAATTTATGTCCTTTTTAGGGTTGTGCCCCTGTTGGCCCTGACATGTTGAAAATACTCCATTGATAACCTTGGTTGGTCTTTGTTTCCTCCGTCCTGCTCGCTTGACCCGGTTGGTAGACTTTGTTGTACATATACCTGCTTGACGAATCTTACGCAACAACTGTGGTGGTATCTTGGCAGAGACAATAGGCCTGGCCAAGTAGAGCAGCTTCTCCCTTGAATAGGTAATTGTCATAGTTGATTGGACACACTCAGTCAATGTCCGAGGAGTGAGGACAAGCTCACTTTTTACATGCAGAAATATATAGATCACCAAGTATACACAGTTTATGAATGAAAAGAATTGCATTTTCAAATGAACGTTCAAGCATCAAAATTTCACATAACGATGATGACACACTGATGAAATTCCATGACAAATTGTGGTTATTTATCACTGAAATTTAGATGAGAACAGACAGGTTTTGTCAGAACTCTGTTACATGCAGCCTGTCAGGCGCAGACCCAAGCTCAAGGCCCTGCATCCAGGGTATAGTGGAGAGTTATCGTAACGTATACCATGGAGATTATCGAGGAAGCTATTCACCTAGTAATACAAATCTATTACGCCATGGTGGAACTGAGATACTCATTTATTGAGGTATCGGCATGGTCTGTAGGGAAGATGACATGACTGACTGACTGAGTTTGGTTTTACGCCGCTTTTAGCAATATTCCAGCAATATCACGGCGGGGGACACCAAAACTGGGCTTCACACATTATACCCATGTGGGGATTCTACTAGGCTACCCCACAGCCCCAAAAATGACATGAAGATATCCTAACATGCTGTATAACAAGGTATGTTAGGTATGACGCATACACATACGAGGGGTATCAAAAGGTTTTGAGCCTAAAATACTTCTGATATGTGCATGGTAGAAATAACTATATGATATTGAAGAATGGTTTATATCATTCACATAAACATAATATTGACATGCTCATGTTGCTAGTTTTGTGGCATCTAATCACATATATCCCTACTGAAACGGCAGAAATGGATAAGCTTGAGTACAGAACAGTCATAACGTTTTTGGGCCTTGAGGGCCACCCGGCGATGCACATTGAAGAACGATTGATAGCAGTGACTTGTACGAAGGGTTTTGCTGTCAAATACATTGTACTAAGTAATGGAATAGATCTATCTAGTTTATCTCAGCAGTGATCTGTCTTTTAAAGTAAGCAATTATTCAACAAGCTATATTTTATTATGAAATTTCAGCTTTCAATGTCTGTTATTAAATATACAAAATACTATATATACAAATACTATATAGAAATATACTGTACAGGCATATCATTATGTGTTTTGACGTGTGAAATAAAGAAAAATAAAACATTTAGACAATAGCATTGATGCAATGCTATACAGAAGATATGAGGACGGAACTTTGCGATTCAGTAAAAAAACTGTAACGTTGAGCTGTAGTTCTTTACGCCACATTTGCAAAGGAAAGCCAGACCCAACTATAGTATTATGAATTATAATTATTTACGTAATACTAAAGGCTGTCGACTCCGTAATATACGGATTGCTGTCGCAATCAAGAATATTTCTGGCTTGAAATTTCGATGCCTTTCTCGTGTGCTGGAAAGTTCGATGCAAAATATGATGCCGTATTGGATGCATATAACATAGAGAACGAGCTATGATATACTTACGATATCTAACCAACGATAAGTTTAGGTCCAAATCGGTACGAAATTCAAGGCCCCAAAAGATATTCACCAGAGATACATGCCCCAATTCCGATGTTCAAGGGTTCAAAGGGTGAGCATATTATGCCATTCCAGCAGCAGCTGGCATTTACACAATGTGCATTTAGTGAACGTGAACGAATGAACGTTTGGTTTGAACATTTGATATTCATGATAAGAAAGAAGGACAAACCCCGTTCCACATTCATAAGAAATATCTGCCAAAAGCAGAGTCGAGTGTACAAATGTGACTATATATCATTAGTATATATTTGTTTCAACAGTATTACAGCTGTGAGGTGTTGTTTTTAAACAAATCCATCGATTTACACGATGCGATTCTGTTTATCAATCACCATGAAAAGGTGAGCATAATATTATCCTTTCCCACCGGTAGCACCCGTCATAAACATTTGCTGCGTCTAGTCAGTTGTTCACCTGAACGCATGGTACAAGTCAACATAGGGAATTACATCGGACATAATTTGTATCACTGAAGCATCGAATTTTGAAATGTCGTCCATACGTCTGCCACAAAACGTTTTATGGCTGTACTGAGGCGTTGGATGAGCAAGAGTGGCATGACGCTCTGTGAAATCTTGGTAAAAGCGTATACTCAACTGTACCTCAAAAAGTTGAGAAATGTACTCACCAAAGGCTGGAGCTGTTGGAATATTGTCTCAACATGAAAGGAAAGCTGACTATTGGGAAGTTTAAATCATCCCTTTTGTCATAAAGCGTGAGGAGAGTTTTATGTCACTCTGAATCTTTTTGCGTAGATCTAAATATGAAACAGTTGAGGCGGTCTCACTTGTATCCTTAATTTCAAGTACAAGTTGGTAAATCAGTGGAAGGTAATTGGCTATTTGATTGTTATTGAACGACAACAAATCATCGATGTACCTGAAGCTTATGTTAAACCGCTTGGCTAAATTACCTTGTTTTTATTTTGCCAACCTAAGCAGAAATTCTGATTTATATGCATAAAGAGAGTGGGTGGGTTTAGTTTTACGTCAGTTTAGCATTATTTCAACAATATTACGGCGGGAGACTCCAGAAAACAGTGTACCCATGTGGAAAATCGAACCCGGATCTTCAGCGCGACTAGCGAACGCTTTAACCACTTCGCTACCCCACCGCCCATATGCATAAAGAAACAGATCTACGAGT